TCCTCCTCCTCCTCCTTCTCCTTTTCCTTCTCCTTCTCCTTCTCCTTCTTCTTCTTCTTCTTCTTCTTCCTTCTTCCTTCTTCTCCTTCTTCCTTCTTCCTTCTTCCTTCTTCTTCTCCTTCTCCTTCTCCTTCTCCTTCTCCTTCTCCTTCTTCCTCTTCTTCTGTAATTACTCTCAGGCCAGCATTGAAATGACAAACAGACCGGACCCCCAAATAGGCAGGGTTTCCCGGAAGAAGTTGACGAGCTGTATTCACATGTCTCCTGTCACTTGTGCACACCGCTGTGCTAATAAACCCACGGTATTCAGTCACTGGTGCTGAACACATGCTGGCTATTATGACGTCAGTGCTGCTATGCAACGCAAAAGAATGATATGGGAAAACAGGAAATAATAATATGCCGAAATATTTTTTTCTTAAAACGCAGTGTCTTTTAAGATTTTTTTGGAAAAACTTCGAAGATAGCAAAAAACATAGAGAGGCAGTTTACTCGCTGAAAAAAAACCGCTGTCCTAAAAAACGGACAAGCATTTTTGCTGATGACACCGCCGCCGTTGAGTTAAGCAAAACATTTTGTGACGTTTTGCAGATAGTTTTTGTTAAATTTTAATTTTTAGTAAGCGTTTACGGCACTTGTAACACTTAATAATGTAATATAAGTGCCGAAGATAAGAGGTGTTACCAGAGTAACTAACACACAAATAAAGGAGGAGAGATCAGAACGATTGATGTTTGATAGGAAAGAAGGAGTATAACACACCAACACAAGAGCACCCGCCAAACACCCTCTTTAGCAGATATTTTTAAATTTTTGGTAAGTGTTTCACGGCGCTCGCAACTGCATAAGGTCACATGAACGCGCGGGACACACCTAATATTTTCAGTTTGTAGAAAATTTAGAATTTTGCTCGGGTGGCGGCCGAAGCCTGCTCTTATCGATTTTAGACCTCCAAGGAATCTTTAACGAGCGCAACTTGCACACGGACCCTCCGAGATTTTTCGCCCTTGTCCGAGAAGGCTAGGTGTAGATCTTTTCTACCAGAAGATCAGGGGTGTGGCAAAAAGACAGCAGTAAGTAGGAGCCAAGGAGTAGCAGTAGAAAGGCTGCAGAAAGAGTCAGGAGCCCAGAGGAGGGGGCAAAGGAGGTGTGGGGGTGGGGGCAGAAAGTGGAAATGAAAGCAGACAACAGAACATTGCTAGAGAGCAGGAAAGGAGGTGAAAGGAGACAATTTTAGAGAAGAAGATTTTGTATGTCGTTACCCGGATTCGAACCCGGGACCTTTGAATGAGAGGCCAACACCGTAACCTCTAGGCCACGAGAGCCCCCTTTTGCAGATAGCAGTTGTTGTAGAATCATAGGCTTGTATTATAAGGTCCAAGATTGTGCTCTCTCACGGAATTCCAGTTTAATTTGTGGCGCACCGTTTGACTCACTTCGGAAGCAAATGAAGTGAATGGCGCTCTCGTGATCTAGAGGTTACGGTGTTCGCATCTCTTTCAATAGGTCACAGGTTCGAAACCTGACAGCGACAGGAAATTTTTTTCTCCTAAAAATTCTCTATTCACCTCCCTTCCTGCTCTCTAAACTACGTTCTGTTGTCTGCTTTCGTCTTCACTTTCTGCCCCTACCCCCTCTCCTCCTTTGCCCCCTCCTCTCGGCTCCTGACTCTTTCTGAAGCCTGTCTCCTTGGCTCCTTTTTACTGCTGTCTTTCAGCCACACTCCTGATGCTATGGTAGTTAAGATCTAAACACCTAAGCTTCTCGGATAAGGGTATAAAATCCCTGATGTCCCGAGTGCAAGGTCCGTACGTTAAAGATCTCTTGATGGTCCTAAAATCGACAAGAGCAGGCTTCGGCCTCGAACCGGGCAAAATTCTAAATACCTACCGAACTGAAAATGTTAATGTTTAAAGAGTCCCACGAGCTCATATGACCTGATACAGTTGCCAGGGCCGTAAAACTCTTACCCCAAAAAAATTTAAAATAAATAAAAATGAAGAGATAAAGAGAGAAAGGGTTTTTTTAAAAAGGGGGCGGGGAGGGAGTGCACGCACATTAGAACTAAACTACAGCGAGACTATTTTTTGGCCCTAAATTCGTGAATCCATGGTACGCACTATCGCTGAAAAATGTTCTTTTTAGAGAGCAAAGAGCAGTTGCCATGACAGTACCCGATCTAGGAGTCAATGTCTAGAAAAATCCTTGCTTCTACTCCTTGTATGGTATACAAGACCCACTGCACCCCCCTCCCCCCCCCGAAGAAAAAATCTCAATAAAAATTGTGATATGAAATACTCTCTAATATAGATGTGCTCACATGTAAGTTTTGAGGAGGGTCATGTGTGCTTGTCTCAAACATCTAGAGGATAGAACTGTCTTGGAGAAGGACTACACGATCGTTGTAGTACATCGAAAAAACAAACAAAAACCATTCTAATCATCAGCGTCGTTCCATAATTGCTCAATCAATTCCTGGGGCTTTCCAGATAAAACCGTTTTTTGAATAATT